CATCCTCTATTTTGAAATAATCCCCCGCACTAAATAAAAAGATTAGTAGAATCTCGACCTTCCGAATCCATGGTTAGTTCAAGAAATCTACCATATGGTGTGGCCTAAATAAGGTAAGGGAGGGGGGTTTAGCTTATTTGGGCCACAGTGTGGCCTAAATAAGGTAAGGGAGGGGGGTTTAGCTTATTTAGGCCACACTGTGGCCCAAATAAGGTCACCCAAAAGAAATTTATTTCACCATCTATGAAACTTAAAACAGTGGGTGAAAGGGCATTTATCGATTACCAAAGTCCCAAGATCTGTAATGCTTCACCAAGTACTTTAAGAGAGATCAAATCTTTTGATTCATTCAAATGTCAGCTGCTGAGCTGGTCGTTTTTGTTTTTTAATTGATAAGATTAATATTTGGAGTCATTTTGTTTTAGCCAGAACACAACGTTTTAATTTATGTTACTGTTGTACGTTGTACTGTATTGAAAAGCACTCAGAGCCTGTGTACTTTAAATACTTTAATCGGGGTTGAGTGCTATAAAAATGCCATTTATTATTATTATGTACATGTTCCTTTTGCAAACGTATTTCCTAACAAATTTGGTCAAATCACAATGCAGGGATGGGGTACGGAGTATGAATGGTAATGAACACCCTCTTCTGTGAAGCAAAATGCAAGATCTGCTACTAAAACTAAAAGTAAAAGCAATACATGTAAAATCCTTTAGTAGCCTGGTACAAAAATAGAGAGGAAGTCTAAATTTACTAGATCTATGTCACTTTGTCTTCTCTTCTGTCAGTATCTATACAGACAGTGTAGTGATAGCCTATGAGGGAGAGAGAGAGAGAGAGAGAATGTCTATATCTGTTCCTGTTGGCTTCTGTACGTTGTGTGGGGGGTGGGGGAGGGGGTGTCCTGTGAGTTATTCTAACTCTTAAGGCAAGAGTGTAAAAGGACATAGTTTCTAGTACACGTACATGTAATCAAATTTTATCTCACCAGCCGTCAGGCTCTACGGTGAAACTTGAGAACCGCGGTACCGGCCGCTGGTCAGGGTTCTATGAACTCAGACCCTCAATTCCAACAAAGTCAAAAATGTGTACTTGGAATGTTGATAAAGTGTTAGAGATGTTGGAAATTTGGTGGCCATTACCATTACCTGCCCCTAGTCTGAAAGATGTGATCTTAAAAGTCTGTATGCTTCTTGCACTTCTCACAGGCCAACGTTGCCAAACATTGCATGCTTTAGACATTAAACATATGCAATTTTTATTAAAAAGTTGTACTTTCTTCATCTCAGATTTGTTGAAACATTCACGCAGAGGGTCACATCAAGCCCCAATTGAACTGCTGGCCTTTTCTCCTCAACAGGAGTTATGCATAGTGAACCACATTCATGCATATCTTGACCGCACTTCTACGCTAAGAGGTACAGAGAGTAAATTTTTCATAAGCTTGCAAAAACCACATAAACGTGTGAGTACGGATACTATTGCACGTTGGATAAAAACAGTGCTAGAAATGGCAGGCATTGATCCTACTGTATACAGTGCACATAGTACTCGTGCAGCCAGCACAAGCCACGCCTCTGGCATTGGTGTGCCCACCACTGCTATCATGGAAGCAGCTGGTTGGTCACGAGAAAGCACATTTACCAAATTTTATAAGAAGACTGCAAATGCCAGTTTTGGTCAGTCAATTATTGAGAATTATTTCAAAGCATCATAGCTGTACACTTTTCTTCATTTACTATATATATATATATATATATATATATATATATATATATATATATATATATATATATATATATATATATATATATATATCTATATATATATATATATATATATATATATCTATATATATATATATCATAATATATCATCACGGATTTGATGCACTATACAATTGTTCCATGGTATTACTATTTGCATGAGTCTATGTACTCTTTTATTTGTACAAAATATATTAAACTTCAATCTTCCATCTACACAAGAGCTTACTCATGGTTGTTGCTCTGAAATCTCAAGTTTCACCGTAGAGCCTGACGGCTGGTGAGATAAAATTAGAGAAACAAGCGAGGCTTACCTTGGTAAGGTGATGATTGTTTCCAATTTTGTGGAAACAGTCGTCAGGAACGGAGGTGTAACTTGCCCTCCCTTCCCTCCCTTGTTTTCATATACATTACATTCCTATCGTGAATTGAAAATATAACAAAAACAACCACTCATAAGCTCGCTCTAAAGTCTGACCAGCGGCCGGTACCGCGGTTCTCAAGTTACACCTCCGTTCCTGACGACTGTTTCCACAAAATTGGAAATAATCATCACCTTACCAAGGTACGCCTCGCTTGTTTCTCTAATTACACTTACCAAGTTATTATTAGCCTACCCTTACTGACTTACAGGCTTACATGTTGATGCATTATTAGATCTAGTTTTCGCAAGTGTTCCTCACCATTCATACAACATGTGCGGTCTTCGTCCCACACAACCATAGCTCCTTCACGTTCGTCGAGAGTACTGCACAAGAGTACCGCGTGTAGTAACTAGTGATCAAAGGCGTGGGTACTCGGTAGAGCTCAGCCAAGGCTGGGCGAGTATTACTCATCAAAGTCAAAGACTATAACTTTAGAGCTGATATGCTACGGTTTACGCCTCCTATAATTATTTGGGGATGGGCCTCGCCCTTGGCTGTGTCTTACTGACTTAGATTTAGATAAAAGATAGCCTTGGCCACACCCGGCAAATGACTCAATACGATGTCATGTGTCGCATTGTTCAGTCCGTGGTTTATAAAAGTTCCTATTATTAGATCTATATTGTTTCTCTTTCTACATAACTTGTCTTCTACGTGTATTATTCCACCCCCACCCCCCATTCCTTCTAGTTTTTAATTAATGAATGTATGAGTGGAGCGCGCACGCGCGCGTGTGTGTGTGACGAGCGTGCATCACACACTCACAGTACACACACACACACACACACACACACACACACACACACACATTGAATCGCACGAGAGCATAAGCCATATTCTAAAAAATACCCAAACACACTCATACCAAAGGACATTTTGGGCGAATGATATACACAAAACACACATGCAGACGACGCACACCCTCAATCAAACACAGACCCACACATTGTCACATAGGCATACACATGCTAGATCTACGCTTACACACACACACACACACACACACACACACACACACACACACACACACACACACACACACACACACACACACACACACGCGCATCATTTTCTAGTTTTTAAAAATTTTGTGTAAACATAATGTAGCCTACATTATGACTTTATGTAGTATTCAGTTCAGTGTATGTGCTGTTTTTTTAGCATGGCCTTTCCCCCTTAGCACACCTTATATTACAACTATAAATCTTTATTCTTTAGATATAATATATCTAGATCTAAATATAGATCTAGATTCGTATTGAACAAAGTAGAACAATTAAATGTGCTTCGCGGATTCGGGTTGTGTTTCGGAGAGATTATTATTTTGCTTCGCGGAATTTTGGAGACAAACATGAGCAGCCATCGACATAACACATTACCTAGATATGTAAATGATGACGGAAAAGGGAAACGTTTACATTCAAAACCGGAAGTACCGGATGATAGAGGTTGCTTTTGAAAAATCTCTTTACAAGATGAATTTCTAAGCATTCTTCTACAAATTGCTACCCTAGATTTACAAAGTTCTATCTGCCCAGTACCTTTGAACATCGTGACAATGACTCCGAATAATCATACGATTTTGACAGAACAGTTAGACCATTTGGTTTCTGACCTCATGGTTTTTATTATAACTCAAAACGGCAAAACCCCCCCCCCAAATATTACTTTGTAATTTTTACTAACTATAACTTATTTATCCCTTAATCTAGATGCCTGTTGGGGCTTAAAGATGATCAGGCAGCAACTTTTCTTCATCCTTCTCAATTTATCACTCAGCTCTTCGACGGGCTTCACTCAACTTTAAATCTGTCCATTTTTTGGTCTTCCTATCCCATTTTTTGTCTGTCTTTTCTTCTCCATCCTTGTACAGTTCCCTAGTAGGAGCAAGTCCTGTTGATGTAATCTGTGATTGTCTTTTTCATCCTGTGTATCAACTATCAAGGGAAGAAAAGACTGCTGGCAGAGCCCAATCTCTCCAATCTGCTGACCACATTAAAAAGTCTGGCTTGGTTTTGGACATGTGGACTCAAATCCTCTCGGATCATGCATCACAGACAGTGACTCCATCGAGAAAGTTCATACATCAATACCACAGATGCCATGTCAACACCCTAGCCTTTGGTTTTGATTCTCTTGAACCAACTTACAAGGTAGCAGGAGACTGTGGAGAGCGGGGTTGTCCAATTCCTGTATAGATTAAGAATTCTGCCCACTACCCATTGTAATTCTTAGAGGTAGCGAAATGACTTTAACACACAAAAGCAGTATCTATAATATGAAGGATCAGTACTGATTGATGTGACCGCAATATTTAGATAGGTAGCTTTAGTTAATAGACCCTGCTGCCAGAACAGTTTTGATGATAACAGACAACTTTATCTAAACAGAACAGACCACAACATATATATATAATTTAAAAAATGGAGAACAAGAGACCTTAATTGCCGGTCCATTTTGCCACTGGGTGGTAAAGGTAGCATGCCGTCTCAAGCTTATGCAATAGGGATACGTATTATTTTTCATACAATTTGATAAAGTTTATTTATAGTACAGATCTGTGGTCCGATGCTCAGTTTTGCACCATTTCAGGATTCTCCAAACTACTATACTAATGATCACCGAGATCTAGGCCCAAGCTATAATAGTGTATATATCTATGAGGCGGCAAACCAAGTGCACTCTTCTGAAGTAAAGACACGAACAGGCTATTTTTCCCAGTGGCAGTGACAGCTCCCGCGAAACAAGTATTGTTTGTGACTTGCTTTCGGCTCCTCAACCCACCCCGGTCCACCCCGGTCTCGGCTATTCTTGTCGCCGTTGGCGCTTATATGGCATTGGGATTTCACAGCTGAAGTAGATCAAGAATCTAGTGTTTGGAATATCTTTGTTTTCTGTAGCGGTGAAAATGTCGCACCACGATTTACCATTTCAAGCCGAATATGCCAAAAGTGGTCGCTCTGGGTGTAAAGCCTGCAAAGGGAACATCGCCCAGGGTTCCCTTCGTCTTGCAGTTATGGTACAGGTATGTCCCGCCGATATAACAATTGATCTAGATCTAGATCTAGAATCTAGATCTAGATATCTAGATCTATGTTACATTAAGGAGGGAAAGATTGAAGAATACCGGACCAGCGGACTGACTTTGCCTCTTTGTCTCAACCTTAGGCCTTAGGAATTCATGATTTTCCCCAGTTTTTATCTCTCAATGGAGAATCTCGGACCGGTAGGTCTATTCATAAAATTTTGTCAGGGGGGAGACCCCCCACCCCCTCACCCTCCTCCACCCACCCCACCCA